TGAAACCAGGATGATGGAGAACCTTGAGTCCATGTCCTGAGGGTCAAGTGAAGGAAGTGGGCATGTGGAACCTGCAGAAGAGAAGACTCAGGAGACATGATTGCAGTCCAAGTACTTACAGGACTTTTGTGGAGAAGGGATTAGATTTGTTCTGTCAGGCCTCAGAGAACAGAACCAGGACGAAGAGTGGAAGTGAAAGAGTCCAATCTGGCTTATTATAGAGGAAAACTTCCTAACAATTAAAGCTTTGTCACAGAGGAATGGGTGGCCTTGAGAGGTAGTGGATATCTTTCCTTGGGAGTTTTCTTTTTTTTTTTGGCTAGGCAATAGGGTTGAGTGAGTTGCCCAGGGTCACACAGCTAGTTAAGTGTCAAGTGTCTGAGGTCAGATTTGAACTCCGGTCCTCCTGATTCCAGGGCCGATGCTCCACTCACTGCACAGCCTAGCTGCCCCTTCCTTGGGAGTTTTCAAGCTGTGGTTGGACAACCAGATTCTATTCTTTTAGACATTGGACTAGACAGACAGTGAGGTGCCCCTCAACTCTCAGATTTTGTGAAAAACAGGACCCTTCTAAAGATTCGGTCCTCTGGCTTGACAATTTTGTTATTAAATGGGCAGCATTTGGGCTCCAAGTTGGTTTTCCTGTTGTCTTTCTACGTGACCAGTTCATCTTCTTTTCCCATCATATTCAAGCCATTGGGGATCACCTTCGTGACACTCTTCCTTTACAAGATGTTGGTAATTGCTCATACCCATCATGCTTCTTTGCAGTTCCTATTGTGCCCCTCACAAATTTTTAATCTTCTGAGATCACGATGTTCCATGATTTATAGCCATAATAATAAACATTTATATAGCACTATGTGTCAGACATTGGGCTAAGCACTTTATATTGCTTCTCACAACCCTGAGAGGTAGGTACTATTATAATCCCCATTTTACATAAGAGGAAAAGGAGGCAGAGATTGAAAGTGACTTGCAGAGTCACACAGCTAGTGTCTGAGGCTGGATTTGAACTCAGGTCTTCCTGATTTTAGGTTTGATGTTCCATCCACTGTGCCATCAAACTGCCCCTAAATAACATCGATAGGAGGTTCTTCTCACCAAAGGTTTTAACTTTTGTGTTGAATTTAAGCTTGTACCTCTGCCTTGGATTGATGCTGCAAGACGATGAGCTGGGCCCAGAACTGGAGAATGATGTAATGTGGGAAATAGCACAGGGGGTTTAATGATCCCAAGTACTGCACACAGTAGGTGACATATTTGAATGAATATCTGGAGACTTCAAACACAAGCTCAATTTTATCTACATCTATTTAAGGGGATTAAAAAGTGTCTAAAAGATTTCAAAAGGCTTGGAGAGCAATAGTTCCCAGGTAAAATGATGCCTTGTTAAGGTGTATAGTTAGAAATGGAATTGGGGTAATCTTGACTTTTGGCATTGTAGAGATCTGTCTTCAAAGGGCTTCTGGCTTTCCTGATGGTAACTCAACCACTCTCCTTTTTAAAGTTTGTCTGATTGGCTGGAAAACAAACGTCTGTCTCTGGGGCCCTAGTTTCTGGCTGGTGGGAGAAAACCTGAGGCCCAAGTTTTCAGCTGGTAGAGATGCAGTTTCCTTGGTCACCAGATCAAAGTGAGGGGATGAGGTGGTAAGCCTTTAGAAAATAGAGCAATGACAAAAGAAAAACTCTAAAACCAGAGGAGGGCAAACTATGGACTGTGGGTGAAATCCTACTAGCTGGGGAGTGAAGTGTGGTTTTTACATTTTAAAATACAATTTATTTTAAAATTATCATATACAATTTATTAGATTTTATTTAAAAATGTAAAAACCATACTGACCTCATAAAATGGTTTGTATTTTAAAAAGTACAAACTATTCTTGGCTCATTAAATAAATCATATTTTAAAATGTAAAAACCAATCTTAGCTCATGTACAACCTGGGACCAAATCTGTAGTCTGCTCTAAACTAAAAAATATATTTGTGAACTTTGTGTTTTCTATGTATTTTTTAAAAGGTCCAGAGATCCAAAACAGAAATTTTTTAAAAGTCTTAACTGGAACAAAAGAGAGGACAGCAAATCAGCTGGGGGAAATGAATGACTATATCTAAGCTTGAGAATTGAAGCCACAGAGGGGGAAGAAGCCTCCACTCCAGGACGTTTATGGGTCAGTCCTGAGCCTCAGATGAAGTGTGAAATAGACCACTGACTTTTCTGTCAGTAGGAAGAATATCAGGCACTACTCCTCTCAGGGAAATAGAAGATGGGGGGGAAAGATGAGGAGCCAGCAAACATCTACAAAGTTCAATTCAAAGACCGCAGATGCTTATTTTTGCTTCTAGTTGCTGGGAGCCTATTCCCTGGGTCCTCTTCCTCTTGGGTCCAGAAGGAGGAATGAGATAAGTTAGGAAAGCAGATCATATTGTATATCCTCTTAGTGTAGTTGAAAGGATTCTAAGTAACTGCGGAGGGTAGAAAAGAAAATTCTGCCTCAGCCAAAGCAAGCTAAAGGTTTTCACATTTCCTACAGCATGTATGTAACATTTAGGGGCTTCAGCTTCTTCATCTATAAAATTAAGAGGTTAGATGAGATGATCCCCAACGTCCCTTCAGCTCTAACATTCTCTGCTCTGAGGCCCAGTTCTGACCTTCTTTGTTCTAAGGTCCCTTCCATATGTAATAGGCTCTGAAATCTTAGTGATGATGCCAGATGACGTTAAACCAAATTTCTTCCTCCTTTGGTCATTAGCATTCATAAACATTTGGAAAATTAGAACACTCAGGATTTTGGGGCAGTGTACCCCCTGCCTTTTCTTTAAAGATTGAATCTCCCCTAGATGAGAAGTACTGGATTACTCATGGGCCATTCCCACTCTGACTGCCACGGGAGCTTTGACGTGTTCGATTTTCAAAATGAGCCACTTCCTCCAACTCGGGCAACCTTGGCCACCCTCCCAGCCAGTCTTGAAGGGTTTACCTTCTTAAGGCCAAACTTAAAGTGGAAGGACACTTAATTGTCTTAGTGTACTGTAGCTCACAATCCACCAGCCTCAACCTCCCAGGTGGCAGAGATTACAGAATACGTTATGTGCATCATAGATGGCCACAGACTAAAAAGACAACAGGACCAGGAAGAGAGGCACACAATAATTTATTAAGGCCCGCTTGGGAGAATCCTCCATCTTCAGCTTCCAGTCCAATGCCTAACAAGCTATTCCACCCAAAGCAATTTTTGTAATACCTCTAAAACAGAAAGGGAAGACAGTCTGGGATCTAGATTTAAAGCAACCAGGGAAAATAGTTAACTCCACAGATGTGAGACAGAGAAATAAGCACACAGCCAGGATATAATTTCTTTGGTCAACAGACCAGTTTAAGGGGTGAGGGGATGGGGTAGGGTAGGAGAGCCTTTTTAAAGAACTGGGTAACAAAAAAATAAAAACTGTAAATTAAAAAAATATATCTATGAATTTTGTGTTCTATGTTTAAAAAAGAAAAAAGCCCAGAGACCCACAAATGAAAAAAAAATCTTTAACTGTTTAAGGAAGGGAAAAAAATGATGGCATATCAGCCAGGGGAATAAATGACTATGTCTAAACTTGAGAATCGAAGCACAGGGGATTTTGTGTAAAGACGCCTCCACTCTAGGATGTTTCCAGGTCAGCCCCAAGCCTCAGAGGAAGTGTGAAATAAACCACTGCCTATTCTATCAGTGGGAAGAATACTAGGTATTAACTCATTTTCTGTGTGAAAACATGATGGGGAAAAAAGTGAGAAGCCAGCAAACAGATGAAATAGAATTGAAGTTTTCAGATGCATATTTTAAACTTCTAGTTTACAGAGGTTACTCCCTAGGTCCTCCCCCATTAGTACTTAAATCTAACAGTGGGTACAATGAACATATAGAGAGGCTGCTCCCATCCCAGAACCCTCAGCATTTCCTTGTATTGGGTAAGGGAAATTGTTCCATAAGTACTCACAAACCAAGGACACCTCACAGCGGCATATACATAACACAAATCATGATGTCTATAAAGTAAACTGTCTCCCTGTAACTTTCTTTTTTTTTTTTTTAAGACAGCCACATTGTGTTCTAAAGGTACAGAAAGAGATCTACAAAAGTTGGTTTATAGAAGTTAGAGAATGGTTCATTAAAAAAAAATCAGAATACAAAAACTGTTTTAAACCTGATGCTTGAAGATAGGCAAATCTGAGATAATAAAGCACTTCTGGGAAGGGGTTTCAGCTGCTTTGTAAGAAGGCCAACACGTTGCTCATTCACTAATGAGGCTCTGGTCAATTTTAAAAAACAAACTTCTTTTTGCAAAAGATAGAAATGATGGCAGATTCATAAAAGGTCTTAGAGGTTTAGAAAGGTTAACTTAATCTATCTGAATGGCAGAAATGGGGCTTTGATGGTATCATCTCCATGACTACCAGTCTGCAGCCGTGGCAACGAGAGCCTACTGACGTCTTTCAAGGCGGCAGAATATAGCCACCCCTAGTATCAAGGGCAGGGGCTGAAAGCTCTAGTCTCTCCCCATGATGACGAGGCCTCTCTCAACAAAGGGGACGGAGTTCAAAATATGGTTTGAGTTCAACAGGGAAGGTCAGGGAAAGGGACCACTGAGAAACTGTTCTTTAAATAGAAGGCTCCTATAAGATAACTAATATAGAATAGAGTCCTTTATTATAGCAGGAGGCAACAGCTGGTGAGCAGAAAGGACCCAAGCCTGGGTATCTAAAGACCTAGGATCCGAGTGGCTTTGCTACTTCCTCACTGTGTGGCCTTAGGCAAATCTTTTCTCCTCTCTAGGCCTTGATTTTTTCCCCCATGTAAAATGAAGGGGTTGAACTAGACTGTAGATTTGGAACCAGGAAGAGTCTTACAGATCATTTGGTCCAACATACTCATCTTAGAATCTCTAAAGGTCCCTTCCAGCTGTACCATTTCATGTTCTAATACTCTGCATTTTCATTATGTGCTGATATCACTTTCTAGACTGAGTTCGTAAATGTGGGAAAAGGGGTGAGAGGAATGGTGATCGGAAGGTCAGCCAGTATTTGCCCTTTCCCTGGGCTGCCAAAATGAGCAATGGACGGACCCAACCAAAAGAGGTGTCTGAGCTACAAGAAGAAAAGTATAAAGTATCATAAATCATCCAGCTGTCTGATCTCTTTCAAGAGTCACCAAAGCTAATGACTCATTGGCTTGTTCTTATGATCACTAGATAGTCTAAGCACACCAAACTCAGCATACCAAGACAGAAAGGAGAAGAAAGGGAAGGAGGAAGGGTGAAAGCTCCTCACCCCACTCACTCTTTGCAGACTAAAGGCTACTTTGGTTCCCCAGCTCAGCCATCCTTCTGGGCAGCTCAGCTCTGCCCAGTCCCAGGGAAGCCTAGTGCTTTGCCCCTACAATGCTCTGAAGCATGTCTATGGGCAGTGGAAAGACAATGGTTGAGTTTTTCTCGGCAGCAATGGTTGTCAGGGTCTGCAGGTAGCGCAGCTGGAGAGCAGCGGGGGACTCAGTGATGACCATTGAGGCTTCTTTTAAGGCCCGAGAAGCATTCATCTCCCCTTCTGCAGCAATGACCTGGAGCACAAGAAAGGCACTGGTCACTTAAGAACAGGAATGAATCACCTAGTCAGCTCATCCTTATCTGAGCAGTGACTCACACGCCGGCAGCCGGCTTGCTTAGAACCCCTTTGTGTTCTCACTGTACTGCATCTGTTTACTGTCACACTGAGGCTGCAGGTTTGGAGCTGCAAAGAAATTTTAGATATCACCTGGTCCAACTTCCTCATTCCACAGAAGAGGAAACTGGGGCCTCGATAAGAAAGATAGCATGATTCACACAAGGTCACACAATTAGTATCAGGGTCATGATTTGAATCCATGTCTTCTGACTCTACTACATCACAAATAACAACTCTCACTTCTCTGTCACTGAGATTTGACAAGTTCATAATTCACAACCACCTTGTGAGGTTCGGAAAAGCACAAATACAAATTGCCCCATTTTACAGACAAGGACTTTGAAATTCAGAGGGAGGAAACCACTGCTGGCTAAGGGCGCATAACTAGTGTCAGGGAGAACTAGTGTGGAAACTCAGGCCTCCCTCCTCCAAGGCCAGAGCTCTTCCTATTACATTGTTCCACTTCTCTTTGGAAAAGAAAGAATTGGGGCAGCTACGTGGCACAGTGGATAGAGCACCGGCCCTGGAGTCAGGAGGACCTGAGTTCAAATCTGGCCTCAGATACTTATCACTTACTAGCTGTGTGACCCTGGGCAAGTCACTTAACCCCACTGCCTAGCCAAAAAAAAAAAAAAGAAAGAAAGAAAAAAGGAAAAGAAAAGGAAAAGAAAGAATTTAAGCCACAGGTTCCCCACCCCGAGGGATACTTTCCCCATCTATCAGGACCTTAAAGCTGAAAAGGCTTACATAGACTCACCTACCCCACATCAATTCACTGCAGTACTAGGAGCACATACTAAAGCATTATTGAATAGAATCACTTTATTAATAGGTCACTCACTATTAAAGCTTCAGGGTTCTGAGAGTAGCTTATTTCATGGGATAATATTTTTGGTTGAAACCAATTCAACCTGCATGTTGGGCAGGACAAGCAGGCCTTTTTGTTATCTGTTGTGGGTAAATGCTCAGGTAACACATTTGAGTGAGGCTCTGACAAGCTGATGCTTATCTAGAAAAAGGCGACCAGAATGATGCAAGGACTGGTAACCATGAAAAAACAGGGGATGATTAGCTTGGAGAAAACACTGTGGTGGATAAGAGCTGGCCTCAGAGTCTAGAAGACCAAGTTCAAGTCCTGCTCTGCCACACACTGGCTCCATGACCCTGGGCAAATCTTTAGCCTCTCCCTGAGTCCCAGGCAACTCTACCACAGGAAGTTGCAAATGCAGATGCCAGTCTACATTGGTACGGGGAGTTTCATACTGGTGGAATCTTTCACCAATGAAATCACTGGCCTAGTACCAAAAAGTAAATAAATAAATTCAATAAACACTTATTAAACAATCACTAAGTGAAAAGCACCATGTTAGAAGCTTGAAGGTACAAAGACAAAAATGAAATTGCCCTGGAGCAGTTTAGATTTTTGTTGTGTGCTATGGATCAGAAATAAGTAAGAGGTAATTTGAGAAGGATTCAGGGAAGAAATGGCTTATGGGAAGAGCCATGAATGGTAAGAATGATGAACGGGGAGCGCTCCCCACTCCAAGATCTCCTCTGTTCAGCCATTAAAGGGATTTTACTAAAGTGCAGGTCTGATCATGTCACCATCCCCTACTTAAACTCCAGTGTCTTCCTATTGCCTCTAGGATCGAATACAAACTATGCTCTCTGTTGGGCATTCAAACCCTTCCATAACCCAGCCCCCTCCTCCCTTTCCAGTCTTCAGACACCTTACTCCCTGACCTTCGCTCTTGGATCCAGTAACTCCTGGATTCCCCATCTCTCATCTCCAGCCATTTTCTCTGGCTGTCCCCTAAGGCTGGAACACTCTCCTCTGACTTGATGGCTTCCTTTTAAGTCCCAACTAAAATCTCACCTTCTACAGGAAGCTGTCCCCAAACCCTTTTAATTCTAGTGCCTTCTTACTATTGATTTACTTCCTATTTATCCTGTATGTGGCTTGCTGTGTAAGTATTTGTTTGCGTGTTGTTTCCTCCATTAGATTGTAAGCTCCTTGAGGGCAGGAACTGTCTTTTGCCTCTTTTTGCATCCCCAGCGCTTAGCACAGTGCCTGGCACATAATAAATGCTGAATAAATATTGATTAATTGAAGGAGATGAAGAGGGAGTGCCTTCCAGGCATGAGGGAAAGCTTATGTGAAGGAGCAGTCATGGGCCCTGTCTTTACACCTCTGCACAACCATCCACCATGTGCCAGAGGGATCAGATTGCCTCAGAGGGCAGAACTAGAACCAATGCTAAGAATTCTAATTCAGGGAGGCAGATTTTGGCTCAAAATGAGGAAGGGCTTTGCTAACAACCTGAGACCCTTGGAAGAAGCTGCTTTAATGTTACAGTTAGGTCTTCAGCATAGACTACAGGTGGTGCTGGTTCAAGCATGTGATGCCTTGTCAGGGATCTTATATATAGAAAACCTTGTGCTACAGGTCAGGTTGGACTAGCCATTCCAATGAGGGTTATTATGCTCTCAAGAGTCTGATTTTTAAACCCTTTGTGGAAGAAACATTCCCGCAGGTAGGACAATTTTGGCTCTGTTACTAGTACCATGAGTAGTCCTAGCTAATGCACAATATCTTTCTGAGCCTTCTCAGTTTCCCCATTTACCAAAGGCTTGAACCAGACACTCTCTAAGTTCCAGCCCTAGGTTCTAGGAGAACCAAACTTCTGACTATCAGGCATCTGGTTAGGTTAATGCCTAGGGGAACCCACAACTAAGAATCCTTTCATTGCTCTTATAAGCACTATACATTCTAAGTGAGTCAGACTCAATATGTCATAGGAAAAAAAATGAAATGAAAGGAAGGGAGGGGAGAAAGGAATAGGAAATATTCCGAGAAAACCACCACAAATCTGATTTCCCAAAAGCAATTAAGCAAATAGCTGTCATCTGAATAGGAGTGGGATGGTTTTCTGTGTCCTTGCTAATACTCGAGCAGGGTGTGTGCTTGGCTTCACAATGACCAAGTCCAGAGGCAGCTCACTGCTCACCGTTAAGTCAGACACAGTTGCTTGGATCTGAAGTCATGAGACAAGCTTGGTCACTTAGTGGCCAGGGAATTCTGAGCAAGTCACTTTCTTTTTCTCAACTTTGGCTTCATCAGCTGTTAAATGGTGAAAATAATACTTGAACTCAGAATCTTACCAGATTATTTATTGTGAAGAAAGTGCTAAAGAAATAGCATTCATTATCATTAGCACAAAAATAAATACTTTTTACTCTTTGAGGAAAGCAGATTATAGCCATCTCTAGTATCAGGGGTAAGGTCTGAAAACTTTATTTTCTCCCCAGGGTCTGTTTTCTCATCTGTAAAATGGGAACAATAATTCCTATGCTACTTTCCTAGCAAGGATGTTACAAGGAAAGTGCTTTGGATCTTAAAAGAGCTACAGGAACACAAGTTTTTCTAGGCTTTGGTTTCTCCATCTCTAAAATGGGAACCCTAATCCCTGTGTGATCTACTTCACCATGAGGTCATGAGGTAAGTACTTTGTAAGACTTACGGTGCTATAGAAATGGGAGCTGGCATAAAGGGCAGCAAGAAAAGCAATGACTGATGAGGTAGGCAAAGGCATGAAACAGAGCAAGGAGGGAGAAAATCTCAGGGAACACATGATGGGAAGTAGCAGAGACCTCTGCCTGGACAAAGCTGCTCTCTCATCCTGAGAGTCAGGGCGGTTTGTTGGTTACCTTAGCTCGGGCCTCCCGGGAAGCCTCAGCCTCTGCAGCCATGGCTCTCTGCAGTTGCACGGGCAACTTCACATCTTTAATCTCCACACGTTCCACCTTTATTCCCCAGTCATCAGTGGCATCATCCAGAGTGGCCTGTTGGGGACAAAAGGAACAAAGGTGAATTTGCCCAAAGTCCCGGCATACAAAATGAGGGGGTGAGGCAAAGGTTGCTGAGATGGATGTCAAGTCCCATAGGTGTGACAGTCTGGGACTCCAGCCTTTGGTATGGGAAAGGAGGGGGACTGGAGGCAAGGAGGGGGAGAAGAGGTTGCAGAGTTTTTAGTCTGTTTGTTGCGCATACAAAACAAGGGAGGGACGATGAGCTGAGAGTCAGGAGACCTGGTTTCTAACCCCATCTTCAGCATTAACTACCTTTGTAACCCATTAGAAGTCATTTCCCCTCTATGGACCTTAGTTTCCTCAATTGTAAAACAAGAGGCAGCGTAGTATAGTGGCCCAAGAGATGGACACAGAATTAGGAAAACTGAGACTCAGTTCCCATCCTGACACTTCTATGTAACCACTGGCAATGGATAAACAAGCATTAATTAAGCACTTACTACCCTGCCAGGACTTAATTATTAAGCACTTACTATGTGCTAAGCCCTGGAGACAGAAAGGCAAAAGCAGTCCCTGTTCTCAAGGAGAATACATTCTAATGAAGAGACAAAATGAAAACAACTGTATAAAAATAAGATCTATATAGTGAAAATGGGAGGTGATTTGAGAGGGAAGGCACTAGCAATGGGGGGAGGGAGGGAATATTGGCAAAAACTTCTTACTAGAGGGTGGGGTTAAGCTAAACTGTGAAGGAAGCCAGAAGTGAGGAGGGAGAACATTCCAAGAATGGTGGACAGCCAGTGAAAACACATGAAGATGGGAGATGGGGAGCACTGCCCAAGGAAAAGAAAGGATAGTCTAATGGGATCACAGTGTATATGGAAGGAAACAAAATATACCAAGATTGGAAAGGGAGGAAGGGTCCAGATTGCAAAGAGCTTTAAAAGCTAAACACAAGATCTTAATATTTGATCCTGGATCTAATAGGAAGCTGTAATGGCAGGTGGGGATGGGGGCAAAATGTGACACAGTCAGAGCTGTGCTTTAGGAAAACCACTTTGTGATGTCAGGAAATCTGGAGGAAAGCCTCTAACCCTAACTTTGTGGAGGATTTATGGGGCACACACAGGACAAGAAAGCAAGGACGAGCTGCAACCTATCACAGGCATAATGCCCGGTATGGAGTAAGCTCTTAATAAAGGCTTATTGATTCGACTGATTGCTTGGAGGGAATCTCCACATCAGAAAGAACACAGAGCCAAAGGACTGATGCTATACAGAAAAGGCTTTGCATCTGAGTCTTGACAACAGATTTGAGTGGCTGCTGCCTGAGGACCAGCCAAGCTCATTTCACAGAAACTCTTGACCAAAGGTGGGGAATTCTTTTTGGTTACAACTACGAACCGGTTGATCAAGATCTACATCACTGAGTCAAAGGGTCAGAGATGGAAGATCATTTAGTCCAACACTTTGATTTAATGAATAAGGAAATAGAGGCCCTGAGAGGCACTCTAAGCTCCTGAGATTACATAGGTAGCAAGTACCAATAGCTAAGAATTAACCTAGGTCAGGGTGGGGAACCTTAGGCCTCAAGTGTTGCCTGCAACCAGATTGTACACCGAACAGAGAGGCGTGAAATAACTTATGACATGGGCCAGGCGGAGTAGAGTTACTGACTCAGTTTATTCATCTGAGGGCACAGAATATATAGGGAAGATCTAGCCTAACTTCAGAGTCCTCCCCAGGAGATACTCCCCAGAACATCTGCTGAGGATGTGACAATCATGAATTTTCTCCTTATCAGGGTTCCTAGATTGGCCTGTAGATTCCAAGGTTTTCCCAGGCGCCTTGGCGCCACCTGCATAGAGGAGTAAATATGTAAATCTAAGGTTCAAAGAGAGAGAAGGGATGTCTCAGAGACCTCATTATCAGGAAGGAATTGGGGAGCCGTACCACTTAATCCATGAGCCCTTTTGGGTAAAAGCCTGAGCAGAGGTCAAACTCTGCCTTGGATCTTAAACTCTTATCAGACTCTTAAGATTGGCCCTCAACACTTGAGGCCACATGTGGCCCTCTAGGTCCTCAAGTGCAGCCCTTTGACTGAATCCAAACTTCACAGAACACCTCTGACTAGGTCTTCTGGCCCCAAGTCCAGTGCTCCTTCTGCCACTACCATGTAGCTTCTCTAGACTTCAGTTATCTGTTAAATTAAGGGGTTATATAATAACTAAAGGTCCTTTCAGCTTTAAATCCTAGGAGCTAATAAAAGTCATTAGTGCAAGAAACACTCTTTCAACATCCTCTCCCGCCAGTTTGGCAGCTACATGGGAGAACATTTCAGGGCAAAGACTCAGGGGCTTTCCAACCTTCCTGACCTCTCCACCCTACCTTTCTTTTGTTTTCTTTTTTTTTTTTAATGAGGCAACTGGACTTAAGTGACTTGCCCAGGATTGCCCAGCTAGTAAGTGTCAAGTGTCTAAATCCAGATTTGAACTCAGGTCCTCCTGACTCCAGGCCCAGTGCTCTATCCACTTGGCCACCTAGCTGTCCTCCTACCCTCTTTTCCAAAGCCTGTTTTAATTCCCACTCTGGCAAAGGAAAGTGACAGACCAGGTTCTGATTAATGATTAGACCAGAAAGGGCAACGACTGCTGTACGAACCTGCATGTTATGGGCAATCTCCTCCCGGTCAGAGAGGATCTGAGAGAGATTTTTGGTGCCCAGGACATTCCTCAGGGTGGTCTGTGCCAGGAGGCGAGTGGCTGAGTCAGCATTGGTGATGTTAGCCACTGCCAGGGTGGCATTCTGGACACGGTAATAGACCACTCCATCCACGCTGACAGTCACAGAGTCCTTGGTGAGAATCTACATGAAGAAAAGAGAAAACTTTACGTCCATTAACCTAGCAGACAAAATCTTAAGTATATGCTGTAGCAAATGATGAATGATACTTTTTTTAAACCAAAAAAAATGATTTTCCAGTATAATCCCTTTATTCCTCCAAGGCCTAAGCTCAGGTGTGACCTCTTCCATGAATTCTTTGTTGTTCACTTAGCACAGTGCCTAGCCATAACAAGTGCTATGCAAATGTTAGCTATAATAATTATTATTTCCCCAGTCAGAAATCACTCAACTAGCTTTTATTATTGGGTGAAGATATGACCTCCTTTGTGCCAGCCAGTGTGCTACGTGCTAGAGACACAAGGAAAGGCAAAAATCAGTGTCTGTTGTCAAGGAGCTCACAGGCTGATGGGAAGAGACAACCTACAATCACATACACACAAGATCTATGCAGGATAGACTGGTGATAATTCCTCACCTCAGGGAGCAGGGTGAAGGCACTAAGATTAAGGAAGACTGACCGGGGAAGCCCTGAAGGTGAGACTTTAGCTGAGACTTGAAAGAAACCAGGAGGATCAATTTAGAGAGAAAGCCTCAAGTCTTGGGTGAGGAAAAGTATGCAGGCCAGTGTCACTAGATCAGATTATGTGGAGAGGAGTGAGGTGTAAGGATACTGGAAAGGGAGGAAGGGGCCTGATAATTAAGGGCTTTGAAAGCCAAAGAGAGGATTTTATATTAGACCCTAGAGGTTAACAGAGAGCTATTAAAGTTTACAGAATAGAGGGGTGAAATGGTCAGATCTGTGTTTTAGGAAGAACATTATGACAGCTGAGTGAAAGGTGGATTGGAATAGGGGAGAGACTTGGGGCAGAGAGAGCAACCAGAAGGCTATTTCAGCAGTTCAGATGTGAGGTGATGAGAACAGAAAAGAGAAGGGGGCATCATTTTTAGCCAAGGAGAACTGTTGCCCTTTCTCCCTCAAAATTTCCTAGGGCAATTTGGATCTCTTTTTTTTACCCCCTATCACACCCCTTGTATTATATCTGTGTCTATCTCATATCTCCCCTCCCCTTGCTCCCTGTCCCTTCCCCTCCCTGTCTTCCATACCCCCCCCCCCAAGTAGTGTATAAGCTCCTTGAAAGTAGGAACTGGATAATTTTTCAACTTTGGCTCCTCAGTGCCTATACGGCAAGAGCTAGTAATGCTAGTTGAACTAAGATGACAGAAATTCTGTCCTTTACATTTTCTGAGGTCATATGGCAAGACAGCCACCTAGTAGTCAGAGGACATGAGTTCAAATCATGACTGTGACTCTTATTAGTCCCAGTTACACCAGACAGGGCAATTCAACTCCCCGAGCTTCAGTTTTCTCATCTAAATATAAGACTTCTCTTCCTGGGTTACTGTGAGAAAAGGAATTTTGTAAAGTTTCAAATGCTAGCAAATTTTGAGTTCCATAGAGTAAAGACATTTTCATTGCTTTGTATTGTATCTCAGAACCTAGCATGGTGCTTGGTATATAAAAGATGCTTAATGCATGCTTGTTAATTGACTGATGGGTGGAAATGTGAGCTATGATTATCATGTCAGTCAATCAACAAGAACACCTTCATTTTAATAAAGGACAAAGGGTGGAATCTCAGAGCTGGAAGGAACTGTTTAGTCTAAACCTAAACTGGAATCCTCCTCTGGGATTACACTCAATTGAGTATTTGTCCAGCTCCAGCCTTAAGCCCTCCAGGGAGGGGAATCAACCTCTGGAGGCTGCTTAGCCTGATCGTCCATAAGTTCTGTCTTATAGTAAGACTGAATTTGCTTCCTTGTCGAGTTCCCATATAGCTTTTAGTTCTGCCAGTGCCATCCCCACCCCCCACTCCCCCAGGCTCCTCCAGGCTAAGTGTCTCCAAGTACTTCTTCGAATCCTCAAGGTATGGAAGGTACTGATTATCTCTAATTGCAGGATGTCAGGATTATCTGGAGAGGGGGTGGGATACAGCTGGGGAACTTGGCCTGGCTCCAGATCACAACCAAGAAGGTGAGAAGCATACTCCAGCATACCTTTCTGACAAAAAAAAAAAAGTAGAAGACGTGCAGCCTGCTACAACTTGTGTGAGTCACCTAATCTTTTCTGAAGAAAGAAATCTCTCAGATTGAAGGGGAAGAGAATTATCTCCTCTTACCCTCCTTATCCAGAGGACTCTACCAAGGAGTATGATGATCTGCCCCACCTCATCCTGTGTGACAATTTTCTGTAAGGAGGCAATTTAGCAATAAGAAGGACACTGCATCACCCAAATTACTCTAAAAGGAAATGGCAAAAGTACACATTACTTAGGGTTGTGGCTTCAGGTGGAAACGGTTCTTCACCTAAGAAGAGGAAGTCCCCCTGTAGCCTTCCACCCAACTAGCAAAGGAGACCTGACTTCACCTACAAAATGGGCAAAGGGGAGAATTAAGCCCAATAAATAAAGGCCTCTGACAAAGAAGTCTAGATTAGCTGACTTTGGGCAAGTCATTTCTCTTCTTGAAACCTCAGTTTCCTCAACTATGAAAAGAATGGGGTAGACCAGATGACTACTAAGGTCTTTCCTGACTGCTCTGTGAGTCTGGGGAGATAACAGGTCTTTCTAGTGCCACTTCAGTAATTTCAACTTTCTCTGGATTGGTAGGACACTTTCTTGTCCCAGGGACTCTCCTCATCTGTAAAATGGAAAAACTGCCATCTGCCCCGACCTCATTTCATTGAGAGGAGATGAAATGACAGTTCACATTCTATAAAGTTTTATAGTTTATGACATACTTTGCTCATAACAACCTTGGGTGGAAGACTGGCATTTCACATTTTATAGATGATTCTCCTTTCTAAATTCCTTCCCCGCTAAAATATTCTCCCTTTGATGATCTTACGTGCTGTGCTCTAAGGTCCCTTTCAGGCCCTCTAACTGCTGCTCTTCTAAAACACTCTATAAATCCAAGGAAGCATTATTATTATTAATAGTAACATTAGTCACATAGATTTTTACAATATATATCAATTTAATGGTGATGATAAAATAATCACATAATCAGGCATCACAGCAATGATGCAACTAACAACCCATAATTTATGACTTTGTGAATATAGATTCAGTGTTTTCCTGGAATAAAATAGAAGCAGCAAGACTGGGACAATCAGAGAATCTGTATTCAAATTTCTCCTGTCAGTTACTAGCTAGTCCGATCTTGGGCAAGTCACTTAAACTTCTCCAGGCCTCAGTTTCTCCATCTATAAAATGGGCTAAATAATCTAAGGTCTCTTCTGGCTTTACATCTGTGAGTCTATAACTCCAAAGAAATCTTTGCAAATGTGACTTTTATCCATATTAACATCTTTCTGCTTCCATTGCCTCAGCCCACTGTTTATCTCAGGCAGAACGTTTACCTTAATTCACAGTTAATTCACTAGGGACAAGAAAGTAGAAGTCTTTGCCAAGTGCACTGATCAGTCTCCTGAGGACAGGAAAGGCAATGGAAACGTAGCAGTTTAGAGTAACCCAGCTCAAGGGCATCAGGGTGTGCACAGAGCTAGGTTAGCCCCTTAGAAAAGAGCTCCATTGGGAACAATCCCTCTGCTCAGAGTGCTGGGGACAGATTAAGAGGTCAGTCCTGGGCCTTTCACTGCTGCTCAGTAAGACTTTCCCTGCCTATGGCTCAAGGAATAAAGCTAAATGGAGACATACCCTGGTAGGCAAAGGAAAGGGTTTTAGTCACTGACCCCCAAAGCTATGGCCTCAGAGGGAGTCTTCCTTCCCAACCTCCCCTTCTTTCTTATTCTCTCTCTTTGTTGCCATAAGCCTACCACAGGGTGGTAAAAAGAGAAGTGAAGCTCACTGTGTCAGCTATGAGTAAATCACAACCTTTTGGACAAGGTCCTGGGTCAGTCTCCACCTGTAATGAGGGGGTTGGACCAGATAGTTCAACCAGCTCTAAAATGATATAAAATGCCAGCTGTAGCATAGTAGAAAGAGCAGGGGAATTGGCACCATGGAATATAGGTTTCAAGCTCAGTTTCGCTACTTATTACTTGCAAGACTTTGGACGAGTCACTTAACCTCTTTAAAGAGATTGGACTAGATGATCCAAGGGTCTACCTTCCAGCTCTAGACCCAAGGATTCTACATTCTAAGGCCCTTCCTTCCATTCTAAGGCCCTCAACATTCTAGGATGAGCTGTAACTCACTGTGTGCCCTTAGGTAAATAATTTCCTTTCTGAGCCTGTTTTTGGTGTTTGTTTTTTGTCTTCTGTCTAATGTGGACACTTTAACCTTGATGTAAGAGAAAATTTTCTAAAAATCAGAGCTGTCCAAAACGGGCTAGAAGGAGTTGTCTCTGGAGTAATGGGATTCCCTTCCCTGGAGATCTTTAAATGGAGATGATACGAACCACAACTATTCCGTAGAAGGAGTTTGTTTTCAGCTATGGGTTAGACAAGCCGCCACTGGAGTCCTTTATAAGCTGAAATTCTGATCTCGTAACAATAGTCCCAAATTCTTTCTATCTGGGAGGGCTGCTGAGAACATCAACTTGAACATAATAGAATTTATCTAAAGCAATCTAAAATAAAAAAGTCAAGACTCTAAGAACAAAAGGGCATCATGGTACGGCAAATCATATTTTCCACTGGAAGCCCACAGAAGAGAAATGTTACGAATGAAGAGAAACTTCACCTCTTGAGGAGGAATATCAAATGAAATGGTCCTCATGTCCACTTTGATAAAGCTGTCAGTGCAAGGCAGGATAAAGAAGAGCCCTGTGTAAGGTAAGGAGCCAGATGATTAATGAGAGACATTTAATGACTTTATTCTGTCATTAAATCAGAAGAGAACCAGATCTAATCAATTTTACGTCTGGACTGACACGCAGAAGGGCCGGTCTGGGCAAGGCCATTCTCCATCAACAGATACATTTTTCTTGTCCAAGAACCTTGGACAAGTCTCAGTGTCTTTCTGATTTCTTCAATAGACTGTCATATCCCTTTTTCTTTTGAAAATGAAGTTTTATTGAAACCCTCTGTTTGTACATTGACAGTCTTTTCCAGATATTATTGCCTCTTCTTCCTTCCAAAAGAAATTCTATCAGGCAACAAAGAAAACCAGTTAAGCAAAACCAGTCAACAGTGACCTCAATAGATACTGTATTCCACAGCTAAACTCCCCCACCTTTAGGATGTCATATTTCTGGGTGAATTTCACTGAAGAGCAGTTAGAGAAAGTCAGGTCTTCTGAAGCACCAAATCTCACATCTGGCTGGCTCTTCTGTGTATTTATTAGCTATGTGACCCAGGGCAAGTTATATACCCTCTTTGCCTCAGTTTCCTCATACGTAAAAGAGTACTTACCACACTTAACTTCTTAGAGGCAACCAGGTGGTACATTAGATAGAGCACTGTCACAGAATCAGGAAAAACTGAGTTGAAATAAAGACTCAGCATCACTCTGGGAAAGTTTGTCTGCCTCAGTTTTCTCACCTATAACATAGGGATAATAGCTCCTACCTCAAAGCATTGTTGAGAGGCACAGTGCTTGGCACATAGTACTTGATAAATACCTATTTCCTTCTTCATTTCTTACAGGGTGTTGTAAGAATAAAATGAGGTAAGAGATGTAAAGTACTTTGCAAACCTTAAAGTGCTATATGTTAGCTATTATTGGCTACATCTGGTCCCAAATGTTTTACTCTCCACATCTAGAAGGTAGGTTTAGACATCAATATGCAACATGACTTAGATTCAAGATCTAAGTCTAATATTTACTGGCTGTGCATCTACTCCTTAGAGAAAATAACTTGGCTCTTGAAGCCAAGCCCACTGTCCTCATGTTAAGCTAGCAAGAGGATGGCCTAGGAATCAGGGCTGAGTTAGAGCCCCAGTTCAGTCAATCATTAAGTGTGTGAATGTGAATGTGTACATGTCACTTCCTCTTTTCTGGCCTTAGTTTTCTCCAGTGTAAAATGAGGGGGTTGGATGAGAAAATATCCAAGGTCTCTTAGGCTCTAACAGTTTATAAGCCCCTGAAACTGCTTCATGACCATGACCCAGTCTCCTGGGTTGAATCTTTCCCAGAGCCCAAAACAAAACTATCTGTTAGGAAAGTCATCATTGCACCAGGCTCCCTCACAGGGGTCACTGTAGGAAATGCACTCCAGAAAAGGAAGTCCTAAGAGTTATCACAGGTCAAGGTGGGTGGGGGACAAGAGGAAAAAAAAATAAGGGAAGAGAGTTTAGGCTTGGTTTCTTCTAGCCTAGGGATTACTGTAGCACTTTCCTGACTTGTCTCCCTCTCTTACCAAATGATCCTTTGCAGACAAAGTAATATTCCTAGTACACAAGTCCAATAACCTCATTCCGCTGCTGAAATGGCTCCCAGTTCCCTACTGGGGGCAGAATGGTATAGTAGAAAAAGGAGACGATCATGGATGTAAAGCTACTGTATCTACCCCCTCCATTTTACAGATGAGGAAACTGAGGCCTGGAGAAGTTAAGTGACTTTTCCAGGGTCACACAATTTACCTAGGGTCTATGATGCAATTTTAATTCCGTTCTTCCTGACTCTAAGTCCGGCATACTATCCACTATCTAGTGACTCACAAAGGATGATCTAGGGACTCCCGTGGTCCCCAAGACCCTTCCGAGTATCTAGGAAGTCAAAATTATTTTCATAATAATACTAAAATGTTTTCAGTTCTACTATCAATAGATAAAATCCTCATAAACAAAAGCTCTTTCAGGTCCTCAGTCATTTTTAAGAGTGTAAAGAAGTCTTGGGACCAAAAAGTTTGGGAACCATTGTATACCTGGTGGATTGAACTGGGTTTGGAGTCTGGAGTCATGAGCTCCAATTCTTGCCAACTGTCAGATCCTAGGAGGTAATAACATTTACAGTACTCACTGCACAGGGTAGTTGTAAGGAAAGGATTTAAAAAGTCTCTATACATGTCATGGGGCAGTCTTAGTCTAACTCAGAATCTATGATAGCACCATCACTATTGTTATAGTAATAATAATAATAACACTTATATAGTACGTACTATGTGCCAGCCACTGTACTAAGCGCTTTCCAATCATCATCTCATTTAATCCTCACAACAACCTTAGGAAGTATGTACTACTGTTACCCTCATTTTACAGATGAAGAAACAAGAGGCAGACAGAAGGTTGACTTGCCCAAGTCACGCAGTATCTAAGGCCAAATCTGAACTCGGGTCTTCCTGACTCCATCTACTGCACCATCAATTGCTGAGATAAAATAGTTGTAGAGGCACAGTCTGGATGTGGCTTACCAAAAGACCCAGCTGCCTTTGATCTGAAAAGAAGCAGGGTAGATTAACAGAAAGAGTTCTAGACTTGGAAAAGTCCTGCTTTTGAATCTTGGCTCTAATACTTTCTGGCTACATGACCCTAGGCAAATAATTTTACATTTCTAGCCTGCTACTTACCTGCAAACCTGCCATGATACCTGCATGACCTACCTTGCATGGCTTTTGCAAAAACCAAAGTGTTTATACAATTTTGATCTGCTATTACAGTCATAAATTATAAATGACTTGGTCAAAGTCTTCCATCACTTGGCCTCATCTTTCATATTTCAGACACCTCAACACTTTAATCAAACTGGATTCCTCAGTTTCCAGATCTTGTCCTGTTCTCTCCAGCCTTACTGGGTGACTGTCTCCTTATAGACTTTCTCTACATCGCCATCTGCTGAAATTCTTCTTTTCCTTCAACAGGCCCCATTGCGGTGCTACCTCAGAGAACCTCACTACCGAAATATATGTTCCCTCCACACTCCCCAGTCAGAAGTAACCTCTCTCTTTTTCAATCTCTTCTTCCTCTCTGATCTCTTCAAAACATTTATCATATTCTGACTTAGTTATTAGCATTGAGAGACTTTTCCACCCCATTCCATTAAGCTCCCTCAAGCACAGAGACTATGCTGATTTTCATCCTTGTACTAAGCTCCAGGTCTTATATACACGTGTTGAGCCCATCTTGGGCAGCTAGGTGGTACAGTGGCTAGAACACCAGGTCTGAAGTGAGGAAGACTCATCTTCCTGAGTTCAAATCCAGCCTCACAAACTTAGCTGTGTGACCATGGGCAAGTCATGTAACACTGTTTACCTCAGCTTCCTCATCTTTAAAATGAGCTGGAGAAGAAAATGGCAAACCACTCTGGTATGTTTGCCAAGAGAATCCCAAACGGAGTCATGAAGAGTGTGAAATGGCTGAATAACAATGAGCCATCTTGTATACAGTAGGTACTTAATACATGATATAATGCCAGGGTGGCATTAATAGATATTTATTGAATCAAATTGAATTCAGGACTCTTCTTCAAGTATGGAAGTGGGGACAAGTGTCAGGTGTTGCAGTTAAGTGGAATGGATGAAAACTGAAGCAAAATGTCCCTCTCTGCTAAAGACAATTCCTGATGCTGGCACTCACCTGGCCCTTTGGCTCCTCCCTGTAAAATTCGACCCAGTCTGAAGATGATAGCTCTCTCATACTCCTTTATGATCTAGAAAAGAGAGCAGCAAACTAAGTTCTTAAGAGACTATAAGCTTCTTGATGTGTTTTCTTTGCACCACCCCGTAAGCCTAGTGCAGGGCTTTACATGTAGCAGAAGTGTAATGAATGTTTCCTGAATACAAAATAAAGGGAATTTAAATTTTTATATGGTTTAACTACCTGATAACAACCCCTACTTTACATAAGTTAGTCATCACATACTACTTTTTTTATGCAGATAAGATCTAGAAGTAAAATTGAAGGAACCAGGAGTGTTTGATTTGAAGAAGACTAGGGGCAGAGGGGAGAAGGAGGGACATGGCTCATTGTTTTCAGATAGCTGAAGAATTGCTATGGGGAAGAAGGGAACAGGGGTTTCTACTTAGCTCTGATGGGTTAGAATGGAAGTCCTATTAGAGAGTATTGAATCACTGGAAGTCACAAAGAGGGTAGGAGATCATTTGTTGAAGAAGTTTGTAAGGGGTATTTTCGCTTAGGACTTGAGGTAAAAAACCTTGGAGATCCCTGCCAATTCAGAGGATCTACGTGACTCTGTGAATGATGAATGGCAGTGGGCAAAAGGGATGCTGAAAAGTGGTAGACTTTCGCTTCAGATACAAAAGAACTACCATCACGGGATATCTCTGTCCTATCACCACTGCTGAGGATACTACATGAGACGCTCGTGCTTCCAGAGGGGTTAGAGTGCTTAGTATCAAAGGTCCTGCCCAACTCAAAGTTCAATGACTCAGTGCTTGATTATTTTTACATAGTCAGTAGAGGAAAAAAAATTAAGGCCTTGTAGATTCTTCTGGGTTTTTCCCCCAAGTGTTAGGCATTAAATAAGTGGAAAATGTGGTTTTTTTAAAGCTCTCTGTTGGAGAAGCAGTGTGGCATAGTAAATAGAGATCTCTTCCCAACAGAGAATACAAGAACATTCCCTGAAACACAGGGCCATATGATCCTGGGCAAATAATTTTACATCTTTGTGCCCTAGGCAATACTCTAAGACCCCTGAGTTGCAGAGCAATTGCTGATATTTATTTAGTAGTTTCCTTACCCAGAGTTGCTGGTACTAATAAAAACAAAGGTCTGGTTTAGGGGGAAAAAAAAGTTGGAAAATACTTGGTGGGTCTTCTGACATTTGCTGCAGTAAGTGGAGGAGGGAATACCCTATCAGTTTATTACTGACTGTGTCCTATGGTGCCAAGGCCTATCTCAAAAACTCTTCAATCCCTCACACCAAAGGAGAGGCTCCCTCCAGGAAAGTTTCCTGAGAGATTCTTACTGTAGCCCCACTGGGGCAATTTTAAATGGGCCCAAGGAAAAGTTCTTAAGACTTCATAGAAGTGTAGAGGATTGCATTTTTTGAAACGGAGAGCAAGGAATAAGAGGCAAAGTGATACATTGAGAAAAGCATTAAATTGAGAGTCATAAGAACTATATTTGACTCCTGGCTCCATCACTTACTACCTCTGTATGTTGGGCAAAGTAGCCTGCCCTGTCTGGGTTTCAGTTGACTCATTGTAAAAAGTGAGAGGGTTGGATTAGATGGTGTCTAAGGCCCCTCCCAGCTTTAAATCCTGAGATCCCATAGTAAAGAGCAGTCCTGGCCACAAGCATACCTACAAATTAAACAGTCTCCCTATTCGAAACAAAGGGCCACTTAACCCCCACTTTAAAGCTTCCTAAAAGAAAGGTTCCATTACCTTTATGCACATCCAGACTGAGAATGGGAAGGTAATAACTGTGAAGAAGAAGGATACAACCACCAGAATCCATCCACAGAAACCAAGGCCCTTACTGGGGTTATCTGCAGGAAAGAATATGTAGTTCATGTTATCAAGACCAAACATAATCTTGACGATCACTCTTGTAGCATGAAGGTACCATAGGAAACCAAAGAGCTCAGAGAGCCTGATACAGTAGAGAGAACATTGAATTAGTCATCAAGAAACTTAGATTTTCATTTCAGCTCTGCCATTCACTCATCTTATTTCCCTGGCCTTTTACGTCTTTCCTTGTAAAATGAAGTGGGGTTGACTAGACCAAACACAGATTCTTAACTTTTTGGATATTGGACCTCTCTGGAAGTCTGGTGAAGCCTGTGGACCCCTTCTCAGAATAATGCTTTCAAATGCATAAAATAAATACATGGGATTTCAAAGGAATACAATTATGCTGAAATACAGTTATCAAATTACAAAAAAGTTAATGGACTCCAGGTAAATTGAATGGATCATCTCCAAGGTTTCTTTCAGTTCTGATATCTTATCTTCCAAGTCTCCTTCCAATTCTCATATGTGATAGCATTACTTCTTCATGCTTTGGCTTTTTCATCTTTAAAACATGGGCAATAACTTTGTACTACCTTCTTCAGTGGGTTTTGAGGCAAATGCATTGTAAACATAGGAACCATTAAGATTGAGTATTAAGGTGCTTTCCTGCTCTAACATTTTATACGTATAAATGAAACATTCAAATATTCATTCAATAAACAGATCAATATATTGTGCTGAGAGAGTCAAAAGATCTAGGGTTAGGTCCTAGTTCTGGCACTTGCTTCCATGTGTGACCTTAGGTAAATTATTCTCAGTTTCTGTATCCTCACCTGAAAAATGGGAATAAATGATCTGAGGTCCCTTCCAGCTTCATGCCCTCATTACATTCTCTGTGTGTGTTGTTTTTTTTTTTCCCAAGTTCATGTATTCATTTTCTACTGTTAGGCTTGTATTTAATTAGTCTGTTTCATTATTTTTACTTTTAAAAAAAGGGAAAGAAAAGCAAAACCTTTGTAACTAATATGTATAGTCAAGCAAAATAAGTTTCCATATCGACCATTTCCAAGAACTAGATTAAAATAAAGATAAAACACACAAATAATTATAATACAAATTAGTGCATAAGAATGGTACAGAGTGCTAAGAAACCACAAGGGGTAAAGAGAGAAATGTGTGGGTCAAGGAAGGCTTGATGCAATCAATACTGTGCCCACAAGCCATAAGAACTGACTGAGTAGCCAACCAGTCTGTGACACACCAGAAAAAGTTTTGGGAACTAAACTTCCCATAACAGTACTTCAGACTCAGCAAGAAAATGCATGCTGGAGGGCAGATTGTCCCTTTCGTACTGCACAGTCTACAGTCCACAGTCTAATGATGTGATGGAGCCAACTGGTTGTGAAATCTCCCAAGCTAGAAGTCATGGAGGAAGGCGCCACTCAGCTATTTTAGTTGGAAAAGGCCCAAATCTTATATTCCGGAATGATCATGGGCTCAAAATTCTATCTTTCATCACAGCATCACATGACTTAGAAATGGGGAGAATCTCACACTACAGGATGTGAGGGCTAGAAGGGACCTTAATGATAATAATCTAATCACCTCATTTTACGGATGAAAACAGCTGAGGCCAAGAGCAGGAAAGTTATTTGACCAAAGTCACAGAGGTGATAAAACCAAGAATGAACCCACTTCCTGATTCCTTCATCAGAATCACACGGCATCAAGACTAGAATCTTCGCACAGTGAGACTACTGGGCTGGAGATGAAAGAGATAGTTAGAAAGGAGTAGTGGGGAAGATCTAGATGAATATTAACCAAGTGTCACTACTAGACTACTTATTGAAGAAGAGATGCAGTAATAGAGAAAATTTTTTTTAATCTCAATCAAAACCTAACAAACAGCAAATTATGTGATTGGCACAAAGGCCTTTGAATTTCAGGTTCTTCATCCAAATTCAATTCAATTTAATTAAAGAAATATTTATTCAATGCCTACGATGTACAAGCTACTTGTTGGCAATGTCCTGGAAAGAGCTATTTATTAGCTTACTGTCACTACCAGTTCAACGTAATGGGAAGGGCACTCATTGCCTTGAGTTACAACTCCCCTGGAAGCCGGGTGGTTCAATGGAAATTGAATATCCATAATGTAGCATGTTTGCTGAATACTGGTTCCAGAGCAATGGGGTTCCAGCATGGGCTCAGCTTGTGTGGGATCTTGGGCAAACTGGTTCCCCTTTCTGGGCCTTGGTTTCCTTACCTATAAAATGAGGGTGTTAGACTAGATAAACTTCTATGGTTGAGTGCAACTTTAAATCTTTGATCTTATCATTCCTACCACTGATTAGCTGTGTGACACACTCCAGGCATTTGTTTCTTTAAGCTATGATTTGAGGAGAATGTTCCTTGACCTATTTACCTTACAGGGTGATAAGATAATGCACATTGAGCACTTTGTAACTAGAGTAACTTTCTGGCTCCTTATCTGGACCAGACCTGTATTCGTTGGTAGTGAACACCTGATGAGGAATGCCTACCAATTCAGATCTGTACCTTCTCTGCAACTTACTCTCTTAGAGATGTGCTTGGCCACTGAGATATTTAAGCAACTTTCCTGGGGTGGTAGAGCCAGTATGTATCAGTGGAAGAACTTGAACCCAGGTCTTCCCAACTCTGGACAAGCTCCCTCCCCATGATGCCAGGTTGCCTCTATAAATGTTATTTGTTATTTAAAAAAAAGTCTTATTAAAACTGTATCTGTGATATTGTGCTAGACTCCACCAAAGGTCAAACAGAGGCTTCTTAGCATCATAGCTCTAGAGGTAAAAGTGGCCTGAGAGGCCATCTAGACCAACCCTCTTGTTTTGCAGCTGAGAAAACTGAGGTCTCGGGAGTTTAAGTGATTTCCCCAATGCCATAAAGAAAGAAAGTATTAGAAGCAGTGATTGATCCTAGGTGCAGATGGTGTCTGCCTTTTGGACTTCTTCTTCACCATCATCATCATCATCATCAATAATACATATTGTTTTTATTATTAATAACATAATTCTGAAATGCGTTACATATAATGCATACAATAACATTTACCATTATTATTATTAACTGATTCCATATCTATAGTACTTTAAGGTTTAAAAAGTGGTTTCTACAGAACAACCATGTAAATAGCATTCTCACTTTAAAGTTGCAGAAGCCAAGGCCTGGACAGGTAAAGTATTTGTCCAGGGTCGCAGCTTCAAAACTGGGACTCAAACCCAGGTCCTTTTGACTCCAAGTCCAAGTGTTATATGATAGTAAGGGGATCTTGGAGAGCTCTACACAATCCTTTTCCAAGAAGAAATCAATTCACTGAGAGATTATAAGAAAAGTCTCCAATGTGGTGTTTTTGGAGAAGGCCTCCATCAAGCCTTTTTGCTATCATAAACCAGAAACCAAAAGCCATAATTACCAATGGTCTGCCGTCAGTGGCAACCTCCCAAGACAGCTGTGTCCAAATTGGGAATGTACTGGAGAAGCTCTGATAATGAAATATGAGATTCCCACAGTGTAAGTCTTCTTATTTCCAAACAACATTCTTTATGGCAAGAGACAGCAGAAGGCTCCCTGCCAGGCCTAAGTCTGGCCTCCTGAGGCTCTCCAACAAAGAACAGATGTACACCAGCTAGTTAACTCTTTTACTGTTACAGAAAATTTGCAGTGCACTAAATACTGAAGGATGCAGGGTGGGAGTGAGGAGAGGGAGAGGAAGAGGGGGAGAGAGACATTATGAGAATTGTGGCCTGTCCTCAATGAACGCTTCATAAATCTTCAAGATTTGCCTGTAGGTACATGAGCCTGGCGCCTCAGCCTTCTGAACACTGCCCAGATACTCAGGTTACTTTCTTTGCTAGAAGCCTAAGAAATGATGGTCTTTTAAAACCCAAGTTTATTCAGTGATGAAAAGCAAGAAAAGGAAATTAAGTAGCTCTCTGAGGATGGCTTATTAGATGCAGCTGGGCACAGAACACAGACTATTAGTGCTGGAAGGAACCCTGGAGGTCATTTAGTCCAAACCCCCTCATTTTACAGATAAGAAAATGAAGAATCAGAGAGATGAAATGGGCTCACAACCATATAGGTGGAAAATGGTTAACCCTGAATATGAAACTATGCCTTCTAACCCCCATCATTTATACAGATTATGAGTTTGAAACCTAAGTCTTCTGACTTGAAATCCAGTGTTCTTTCAACCATGACATGCTGCCTCTTTAAATTCATGACATTCAACATCTGGTTAATCATAAACAGAGAAGTCAGATTTTTTCGGAGGCTTCACTGCTACATGACACCTCTTGACATATTTCTAACCTCCTAAATCTTCAAGATTACCAAAAATCCATAGCTTCACCTCCCACATGACTGCAAGCCTGCACAGGTAGAAAAGGAAATTTTAATTTCTTTCCAAACATTACATTACAATAAAACTAATTCACCAAAACAATAAGCAAATTCTATTGATCTACTTGAGAAGAAATCTTGAAAGGCAAAGAGGAATGGATTTGGAGATGGAAGACCTGGGTTAGAATTCTGATTCTGTCACTAGTGTGATTTAGGAAGGACACAACCTCTCTGGGACATCAGTTTACTTTTCTGTAAAATAAGGGGTTAGACTAGATCAAGGGTTCTTAATTTAGGGTCTATGGACTTTAAAAAACATTTTGATTACTAGTTCAATAATTTTCAATACAAAACTATTTCAATATATGTTTATAACTATTGCAATATAATAAACATAAGTAATTCCCTCTCCTATTAGACTGCGAACTCCCTAATTTTTGCCCTTCTTTGTATCCCTAGTGCTTAGTGAAGTATCCAGCACATAGTAGCCACTTAATAAATGTTTAGGTTTTTTTACTTCAATTTTATTTAATTTTCAGATCTGAATTCTCTCAGCAACTCCCCTTGACATTCCCTTTCCCCTGCCATCGAGAAAGCAGGACAAAAAATAACTGCTACAAACATGTATCGTTGAGCAAAACAAATTCCACCC